TTTATTTTCATAGTTAATTAGATTGCAAGAACTTTTAAGGTGTGAAGGACAGATTGTTTCTAAAAGGGGCATAATTTTTTTTTATTTTTGGTTTTCAATGTCTATATCAGAGATAATGTCATATTGAAGTGTTTGGCTTGTGTGTTTTTGGTAAGTCCTAGGTATCTTTGGGTGATATTAATCAGAACCATGCTGTGTTTCACTGTGTGTATATGTGTATGGCAATAAAAAATAAATCAGGTTTTAGTCCAGTTTCTGATGAAGAAAGTTTTCGTACAACAGGAAATAAACTAGACACAAGAAGATTTGCTTACCAACTTCAATTTGGACTGTTACATCTGACAATCATATGGATTGTTACTATCTTGATATGTTGTCTTTTATTTATACTTGGCACACAATGTATATGAATATTTAACAGAAAAAAAAGCTATTTCCCATTTTATACTGGAAGGGTAAAAAATTTCTAATAACTATTCATGCTTAAAAGCTGAAATTTTGCATATTAATAATTTGATGTTTTAAGTGCTGTGTAATGTTTATCTTTCTCTGTAAATTATAAGTTAATTAAATTTTATTTTAAGTTGGCATTCATTCAGTCAAGGTATTATATCTACTATATAATAATTACTGTTGTGTATTTATTTATATCTTTTGTGTCACATACTGTAGTGAGAAGGGATGTAAATCAACTTAAGGTAGTAAATGTATGAATGGTTACTTCTCTTAGTTATTTTAATAAGTTATGTAAATAAAATATTTATCTCTTACTGAGACAAAATTAGTTCCTAAACGAAATGAACTGTTTAATTTGTTCCATTGCTATGTTTCTTAGACAGCAGTGTTCATGCCTTCCTTGTGCACTAAATGATCGTCTTGCTTCAACTTGGTCTTGAAATAGGCTTTGTTGTCACCATTTTGTCATTCTGTTGCTAATTATTTTCATTTAAGAAGTGTTTCATTTTGATTCAGTGTTATATTAAACACAAAAATTTTTTTTGACCAAGAAGTGATTGATATAATGCCAAGAGTAACCAATGAATCATAGATACCATTTAAAAAATGTTAAGGGAACAGATTAATTAAACAATTCATTAGCTTCTATTTTAGTTGTAAATTCTGGATCCCCACTTTATTAAATCTCAATACATTGTTTCAAAACTTTTGTTCCATTGCATCTCAATATTAAACTTTCTAACAATTGCCATCATTTTTGATGGCACAGGTTCACTAATCTTATTAAAAATTTTCATTAAAAAGAATTTAATTAATAGAATATATTTTGAATCTGTTCATTTTACCAAATCTTATTTCGATTTAAAATTTTTTTTTTTCTCAAACACTATATATATATATATATATATATATATATATATATATATATATATATATATATATATATATAGCCTAATAATGAAAATAGCATTTTATACATTATTTCTTTTTAATTATAATTTTTGTCCTTGTCTATGCACTTAATTCATTTGTAACATAGATCAACCATTATAGAGTGAAAATTTCAAATCAAAATTGAACTTAAATGTCAACCTCTTAACTTATTGATTTACCCTCTTATGAAAAAGACTTACAACCTTTTTGAGGGTTTGCAGAACATGATAGAAGCACTTTGTACACTATTTACATTATTCGGACTATTGTCCTCATCTTTGTCGCCATATATAGTACAATGTTTCAGCCGTTGTACGCTTCGGCCTTCTTCAGATGGTTGGAATGTTGAACTGATCCCTTTATTTCGTTCATTGGGGTAGACTGTTCTAGTTCCACGTGCTATGTTTAATGGATGTCCGTTATCTCCTGTTAATTCCTCTCTCCAAGTTCTCCACTGTGCCATGTGTCCTCAAGGACACATGGCACAGTGGATAAAGGCGTTAGTTAGATCCAGTGACAGGACCCAAAGAGTGTGAGTTTAATACCTGGTTAAGGCAGTGGAGAACTTGGAGAGGGAAATTAACAGGAGATAACTGATAACTGACATCCATTAGGCATGGCACGTGGAACTAGAACAGTCTACCCCAGTGAGCAAAATAAAGGGTTCAGTTCGACATTCCAACCACCTGAAGAAGGCTGGGGCATACAACAGTCGAAACATTGTACTATATATGGCGACAAAGATGAGGACAATAATCCGAATAATGTAAATAGTGTACATAATACCTCATCTCAGAAATATAGACAGATACAGAAGCTCTTTGATGGGTTAACATTATTCTAAGAGGCAGTGAATTAATTTTGGTCCAAGCCAAGTTCTTACAATTTGGAAATAAACAAGATTTTCTACTTTTTGTTAAACTTTAAATTAAAGCCTTCAAGAAGAAAAAAAAAACCTTCAGTCAATCATTAAAGCTAATATATAACCCTCTTCACCCAAATATTCACATTTTTTTTCAGTTGCAACCAAAGCACAAAAAAATGACTAAAATCTTCCTTCTTCACTTGCCTACTGTTACTCAGTCACTTTTGATTCCAGTACAATTGTCTTTTCATGAAAAGTAACAAACACATTTTCAATTTGTTCATTTTTTTTTATTTTTCTACTTTTTGTTAATTTTCACTTTTTCATCTTTAATAAAATGTTATTTGTTTGAGTAACATTTTTTCTTTAGCAAATTTATTTTTATTTCTAACTAAAAAGTTTGTGAGTGAAACAGGTTGCAACCAACTAAACATTTTTTTTTATAAATCTCTCTTGTTTTTGCAGGTGTATTTTGGCTGTGTTGTGCCTCGGTACTTTCTTGCACTCAACATGTTGGGTTTCACTTGTTTTGTGGGCATGTCTTACCTTGTTAAAAAGGCAGCACTAGATGAAGTTAATGGTTTAGCCTGGTATGGAAGATATCTTGCAGAGGACTTCTATTTAGGAAGAGCTTTACGTAAATGGTAAGAATTCTTATTCAATAAGCTTTAAACTTTTATGAAAATTTGGACATTATTTGTAATTCCACTATTTGCAAATGAACTCAACAAAGGCTTCTAATAAATACTTCTGTTTTTAATATTAAAAATCGTGGTATATAAAAATGCTTTTTGCCCATAATTCATTCAGTTTTATCAAAATTAATTGCTTTCATGATTGTATTTTAATAAACATATATTAACATGTACTTTCTCTGTGTACATAAGTTTTTAATAATTGATAAAATGGAATTGGTTTGTTTGTCTGTAGCCTTTTACTTAAGAGCTCTTAGAATCTGAAGCTCCCAAATTCTGCCCGAGGATGAGAAATACATTGAAAACCCTTCCAATACATGAATTATTTCCTGTACAGTGCCAAATGCAAAGCCTCCAAAATTACCAAAAATGAAAATCCAAAAATCCACAGATAATAATAATTCCAACAACCATAACAAAAATAGGCACATAATCCTACCTGCCATAAGAGCCACCATCGAAAATCACTTATCAAACCTTAACCTAAAGTTCAACACCACCTCTAAAACAATAAGAGATATTGTTAGCATCAAATGAGATAACAACAGGACAGAGGAAAAAATATACAGAATATATTGTATAAAATGCCCAGTGGTGTATATTGGTAAAACATCCAGAAACCTAAAAAAAAAAAAAAAAACACACAACTATATGAGCATTACAGGTTTGGTTTGGTTTGGTTTTTGTTTTACGGCATATCAACCTGAATGGGTTATTTAATGCTGACAAAAAATTTTTATTACTGGTAATATTTTGTTTTGTCAAAAATTTGTTTCTGGTAATATATGTCCTTCAAAACTGTATTGCTGGTAATAATTTTTTTCAAAAAAGTATTGCTGGTAATAGTTAACACCAGCAATTAAGAGGTGGTTCCATGCTCCTCAAAACCACCTGATCAGAGGCCTTGCTGCTGGATGTAGTTTAACGTCTTACCCAGGACGCGAACATTACAGGGATCTATTGCTTAACAATACTTTAAATGAATTGGCAGTTCACCATAATACATCTGGCCACAGTGCAACTTAATAGATGCCAGTCTGATCAGGAGAGAAAAGGATTCACTAAGAAAATGTATTGATATTGCACTAATCTTACAATTCCTGACAATAATCCTAAAACCATACATAATATTACTGATCATCTCAAAAGCCATAGGAGCAGAACATGATATACAAGCTAGTATAGATAGAGAGAGAGAGAGAGAGAGAGAAAAACACAGATATATACTCTGAGTGGGCTGATTTAAATTCCAACGGCTCTAATATATACATAAAAAAAAAATCACTTTCTGGTCTCCAATAGTTGGATCTGATAAGGTAATTTAATTTATTACCCTTCTTATCCTCAACAATCCCAATGTATTTTCTTGTTTACACACAGTTTAGTCTTTCATTCTAACCTGAAGAAGATTCTGCACCTTTCCCTTTTGAATGCTAGCTGTAGAAAAGTCATGCGAGTCTGCTGGCTGATCAACACACTTTATGGTAGATTGAACATGTATGATCATCAGTGATGTCATATTGGTAGTTGACATCACAATGACTCTGTGTGTGGCTGATAAAATCTGCTTTTGAAAAGCAAATGTGATCACATTGATTGCACGTAAGAGACTCCTTTCATACGTGTTCTGGGAGAGGGTCGACACCTCTCATATATCTGCCTGCATGTTTTTTTGTTGTGCATATTCTATCTTGCTGTTCTCAAAATTCTTGACACCAGAAGCAATCAGATTTTTCCATGTTTGCCAATCTGATGCAAGTTCTTCCCATATGTCTATATCTATGTGTATCTTTTTGAGTGTGCCCCCCCCCCCTCAGTTTGTCTTTTTAATGCTTGCAGGGCTTACACTACAGTCATTTTCCCCTGTGCTAACTCTCCCATACATAACCATACAATGTTTATTCTTTATCTACATACAACAGAAACATATCTGTTCAGGATGTAGATGATCATGATTCTCCACACCTTTCTTTTCTTTAATATCTGGAAATTGTGTATTAACATGAATGTTCTTGAGAAAGATAGTGGTTTCTTGTTGCCATCTCAATAGTTAGTTTTAAATTCAGAATTTTACATCTCCTAAACTGATTGCCCTACCAAGGTTAAAGAGTCTAGTTTACCATATTTTATCAATAGCTGAATAAAAGATGGATTAATGTCTTTCCCAAGAACAATAGTGCAAAGTGAATGCATCAGCCCCAGGCAGGATTTGAACTTTGCTTGCTAATTCCATTTTCTGCACAAGTAACCATTATATCACATCCCAATAAGCATTATTAAATTTGGGGTACTATTGCATCTTTCTGACAGTGGTTGCCTTTTCTCCAATTAAGATGCAATCAATTCTACTAGGTTACATAGTATCAGCATAAGGGACTAAATGTCATATGACTTGTCAGGAAGAATAGGATTCATGCCTTTCCAAATTGCATAAGTTCACAATAAATACAAACTACCTCAACTTGAACTTGGTTCACTGATTGCATTTTGTGTTGTTAACCATTTCCCTTCACAACACATCAGCCAGTGTGAGATCTTTATCAGTTCTCTAATTCTTTATATCATGTAAATTCTAACAGAACCTTCTTTTTGTCCTGGGTATGACGATAAACTACATCCAACAGCAAGGCCTCTGATAATACATTTTTGAAAAAAAAAATATTAACAGCTATATAATTTTAAGGAAAAAAATATTAACAGAAATAGATTTTTGACAAAACAAAAAGATTGTCAGCATTAAATAATCCATTGAGGTTGATATGTCGTAAAACAAAACAAATTAGAACTTTGTTTTTTGTTTGGTTAAGGTTTTTAAATCTTTGTATATCAGTCAATTTGAACTCGATTGCCTTTTTGTTTTATAACAATATCTTGGCTGCATATTCTCTTGCCTTCCTCGGATATCTGTTATTTTTCTGGAATGTCTTACTGATGTACCACAGGTGGTAAAATGAGTGTGATGCTCTCACTCCTTTGTTTATATTTTTTTTTTTTTAAATAAATCATCAAATTTATAAAACCTTGTAGTGAAAGAGATAATCAGGTACCCTGGAAAAAAGTTCGTGTTTGTGTGCAATCTGCCAAAGAAACATTACCAAAAAGTAGTCAGCAAAAATCTTATAGCAAAGAAAACGGCGACTTACCTCGTCAAACCAAGCGACAGCGCGTCGCGTGTATTCTATGACGGAAAAAGAAACAAGTCCGTCGCAGGAGTTGCTATAAGAGTATTTTGATATGCAAATTACGGAGCATCCTATCCCAGCTCGATTCGAAGAAGGTTTGTTAGAGAGTGAGTTATTTTCCTGACTAGTTACACGCATTGTGATTTGAGATAGTACCGGCAAATCAAGTTTTCAGCATTTCTTTCTGCCCCCGATATTCGAGTCTGATTTTTCTTTGTGTTGTGGAAGTAATCTGTGACAAATACTTCCTTTGCTTTCAGAATGCTTACACTTACAAACCTTTTTATACATTTTACAAGGAAAATTTTACACTTGTGCATCAATGTAAAAACTGTTATATTTGAAGAAAAATCTATCAGTTTTCCCAACATTCAAAATATTAAACTTTGGGAATTCTGTGCTTTTAGGTGTTTAGTTTTAATATATAGAAATTTGAGTTTTTAAAGATTGTTGATAAAAATGGGAATTTCAAGAAAAACTATCAAATTGGAATTGATTTGTCTTGCTTACGAGGCGGGGCACTCAAAAGTAACTGGAATTGTGTCATATAATTTTATTCATTTATTGTTGCATGTTTATATTCTTATCACCTTCAAAGTATTCTCCATTTGAAGCAATGCACCAATCCAGACGTGTTTACCACTGTTCAAAGCAGTCCTGGAACTCTTGTGAAGTTATGTTTTTTAATGACTCCATCATTTTCTTCTTAGCCTCTTCCACTTCTGCAAAATGTTTTCCTTTGAGGACTTCATTCGGGGGAACAAAAAAAAAAGTCGCAGGGGGCGATATCAGGTGAATAGGGAGGGTGGGGAAGTGGCATCATACCATTCTTGGTCAGAAACTCTCAAATTCAAGGCAGGCAGTGTGTGCTAGCACATTGTCGGGATGCAACCACCACCCTCCACTTTGCCACAGGTCAGGGCGTTTTCGTCTCACCTTGTCTCATAAACGCTTCAGGATGTTCAAGTAAAAATCCTGGTTGACAGTTTGACCAGGAGGAACAAATTCTTTGTGGAGAATTCCTTTCACATCAAAGAAACAAATCTGCATCATCTTGACATTGGTCTTCACTTAATTCACTTTTTGGGGTCATGGTGACGTTGGATGCTTCCACTGGCTTGATTGATGCTTTGTTTCCAGGTCGTAACCATAGCACCAGCTTTCATCACCATTGATGACCTTCGAGAAAAAGGTCTGGATCAACTTCCAACTGTTCTTTCAGTTTATGACAGGCATCCATTTGTGACTGCTTTTGATTGATTGTGAGCAAGCAAGGCACCATTTTCACTGCAACTCTTTTCATTCTCAATTCCTCAGTCAGAATTCGTTGACATGAACTCCAGGACAAACCAGTCAAATCAACAAGTTCGTCAATTGTTTGACGATGGTCTTCCAAGATCATTAATTTTCATGATGCTTTCAACTGTTCAGGAGGTTGAAGGTCGCTTTAACGATGCTGGTCTTCCAGCAACAATTGACCATTCCTAAAGTGTGCAAACCACTCATAAACTTGTGTTTTACTCATTGCAGCATCCTTGTAAGCTGTTTTAAGCATGACAACTGTTTTGGCTGCTGTTTTCCCCAGCAAAAAACAGAATTTCACAGCAGCATGCAGCTCCTTCCTTTCAGCCATAGTAAAAATAGACGAAAAGGCATGAAGCACTTCAAAACAAATGTGAACCACGGAGCTGTACATCTTCCCACGATAACACCAGTTAGCACACTAATGCTTGAGGGTTGCCTCAAGTGGCATCTAGCGGTGGAAGCCTGAACTACTATGGGCTTGTCACTCAGAAAACGATTCCAGTTACTTTTGGGTCCCCCCCCCGGTACTTATAAGAAGGAATAGAAATAAATAGAAATTTGATTTTCAAAGATTTCCTATGTATTCATTTTAAAAATAAAAATCTTGATGTGTATTTGAATATTTTAAAATGTTATTTTTTATTTTTAAAACTGAATCCAGTGTTTTTTATTTCCTTTCTCTTAGTGGTTACAAATTAGTCGTGTCAGCATTTCCAGCCCAACAAAATGTTGGGATGTTATCAGTTTGCAGTTATAAAGACAGAATGGTGAGGTAGGTGTTCTCTTTTATTAAATAATCCAAACACATATAAATGCAGATGGAAATTTTTCTAAAGAAATAAAAATAATATAAATGAATGCAATAAGTATTTATTTATATCATTTTAAATATAAAGATATATAGATGGGAGATGGTAGGCTTTTGTTTTTTATTTTCTTTAAACTAATTTCTTAAGATTTTTTAAAATTCTCTTAATATTTAAAAAAATAATGTACATATATTTAACTAAAACGATTGGAAAATTGTCATTTATGTATATATTAGCACAGTACCCGTCCAAAATGATAGGATCATTTATATATGGATCAGCAATTCTGCCTTTGAGCAGAGTATAGGTGCGTTTCTGCTTTTATGGTACAAACTGAGTTATCTCCCTTAAGTCCTAATTTCTCTGAAACATTGATTGCATGCAAAATAGATCTTTTTATTTTATTTTTTTTGTAGAATTAATTTTTTTTCTTAATATTGTGTATTATTCATTTGCAAATTTTTACAAAAACATTTTAAAGAAACCTTTTATTTTAACTTCTAGTTAAAGCTTGTACATTGAAAAATTGTCACATTAAAAATTGATAAAGAATTTTGTTAAATCTTAATTTTTTAATGAAATATTTTGCTATTTTTATTTTTTTTCCAGATGGGTCCGTCTACGCCTTAGCATGATTCCTCTGATAACCGTTGTGGTAGAACCTCTTACAGAATGTTTTCCTGTTGGTCTTTATGGTGCCTGGTGCATCAATCATTTCTTTGGAATTAATCCATATTACATATTTTCATTCCATGTGGCAGGATGGTTACTTTTAGATTATTTACTACTAAGAAATATCCAGGTAATTAAATTTGTACAGTTGCAAATTTATATATATTTCAATAAGGTAATAAGATGAAATAGTTTTCAAGAAACAATTTCATAAATGAAGAAAACACACACATGGACATAAAACCCAATGTCTTTTTTGTAATGCACAAAACATATCAGGCTAATTTAATAAAAGAGAGATTGAATAAAATAAATTTGCTGTTCATAGAAAAATTAGGAGGATAAAAGAAAGTGAACATCAGCAACATATTAAATTTTTACACAATTTACATTATTCGGACTATTGTCCTCATCTTTGTCTCAGAAATATAGACAGATGTTAAATTTTTACTATTTGAAGTAAAGTTGAAAGTATATGATAGAGAATTACTAATTTTTTAGTCAAAAAGAAAAAAAAATCAGATGAAAATAACATTCAGCAACATAATGGACATTATTTGCCAGTTTTGTGGATAATTCAACTTATCATTAATGAGAAATCTAATAGCTGTCTACAAGGGTAAAATTTACTTTTCTATAAATATGGCTCAGCCATATTTATAGAAAAATGCACAGATATCTGGCTCAATTTAACTTAACATGATTCCTATTGTGTCAGTGTACAGATTGCTGGCCCAACTGGGTAGGGCCCTTGTTTCATCAGAGTACACATCCCAATCCATCACAATGAACAAAGTCTCTATTAACAAGCATAAATGATAGAACACAATGGGCATCACTGGTTTTACATGCATATAAATGTATTGGTTTGTAATTAGATTTCAAGAAAGATTTTGTAGCTTTAGCTTTCTACTGTGATTGTTTGTGGTGGTTATAATTGATACATATTTGAAAATTGTACAGTCCCAGAATAATAATGTGTGTTTGTATTTTGAATTGCATACAAACTAAAGCAATTAGGCTTAAGGCTTCAAATTATGAACAGAATTTCTTTAAATTAGAAAATGAAGATAAAAATGGTTTAGACAAGTGAACATATATACTTGTTTTACTGTATTTGCATTCACATAAGACTTCTTTTCTTTTTTTTTAAAAAAAAAAAAAAAAAAAAACATTGTCATGCACCTTATACAACCTTATTATGAATGGGAAGTGACAGAGTGCTGTACCAGTAGATTAGGATGTTGGATAAACCTGAGTCTGCTAAAATATTGAAAACAAACCAAATTATTACAATAAATTGTGTTACTACTAATAAAATATGTATGGTAGTCTATATTGTTTGCTGAAATACCAGTTTTGTTAGAATGCATTCAATTTTTCCCCTCTTGTTGTATACTGCTGATAATATTCACTGAAGTATTTCACTTTGTCTGCATGTACTGTAATTATCTATAAGAATTCATTCACATTTATTGATTGTGCTATATCAGTTTGCTTTGTTTATAATGTGGAACAGTCCTTATTGATACAGTTGTATCAGTATTTCTTTTCTGCTTTGGTAAATTTAATTTAGTTTCCTTTGATGGTTAAAGTTACAATATAGGCTTTCATATTGTATTTACATGCACAAAATCATACATTTTCCACTACAAAATAACTTTAAAATATATTTCAATAAATATATGATGAAACATGCTAAAAAAATTTTTCCTCACAAAATATCCTTATAAAATAGGCTGTGGGCAACTTATATAATGGTAAATATGGTACCTTTTGTTATGACCAGTGGCATGCCCTGAAAAATATGCTACAGCAAACAAATATAACACTGTTAGGATCCAAGTTCAAATTTTCCCATGAGCACAGACCATAACAGGCTGAGTAGTCTTCTACAATGTTCTATAAATTTTGTGTGAATATGGCACATTGCCAAGTTTCTGCACAAAAATTGCCATTAAACAAAATCCTACTTTTTTCTTCGGGATCACTTTGCTTAGATGACATTTTGGTCTTTTCTAAAATGTTTACATACATAGAGGTGCTAAAAAGTTCTCAGCCTGACTCCCTTACTAAAATCAGTATTCTGATGTTTGGTCATTGAAATACTTCCTTTGGGAAATGGGTTGGGTTAAAATCTTCTCAGCAACCCTTTTGTGTGTGTGTGTGTGTTAAAATCTTTTAAAAACTATAATTATCTTGGCAATATTAATAAATTTGTTGCCAAGTTAAAAAAAAAAAAAAGATGTCAAATTTAATGTGTATACACTCTTCTTTTATAACTTTTTAAATAATTATTGTTTCTGTTTCTTAATGATGAAACTGTAGTCACATGATTAAAATAAGATGGCTTCTCATCTGCTTCCAAGTAATTCTCTTTGCTTTTCCCCTTTTAAAAAAAGCTACCTCTTTTTTTTATTGATAATTTTTCTAGAGATTTTAAAAACTTAATGTCTGATAATATTCATCAAGAAATTTCAATTAAATGAATTCAGAAATCAACTCAATTTTTATGATCTGATTGTATATTTAAATGCTGGCTGTGTGAATACAGTGTGGGTAAGGTAAGATAAACTTGTACAGAATCAGAAACCTTAAAGTGTTAATGGTAATAAGAATTGAGGGTTTTTTTTTTATAACATGAAATACTGAAAAATGATTATTCTGATTGGAGATGACAACAAACTTATTTTTTCTCTTTTGTTTTTTTTTTCCAGAGGAAAACCCTTGCATTTTCCAACCTGCGGTTCCTATTGGCCTGGATAAGTCGAGAATTAATGACAATATTGATTGTAGTTGAAGTTATCATGAACCCTCGTCAGATCAAGTGGGGCAAAAGGACTTATAGGGTTGACCTTCAAGGTCACACAAAATTGATAAAAGTTGACAGATCTTCAATGAATTTATGATAGTTAATGCAGAGAATTCTGGATCTGGTTTTTCTTTTCCCCTTCCCACATTGAAATAGCAGCAGCAGCTTACTGAGAGAGACAAAAAAAAAATGTGATAAATTTTCTCAACAGCCTTCTTTTACTTCCTTGTTGTTATAATTTTTTTTTTTTTTAAGAACAGAGACATTTATAATTAACAACAAGATTTGGTGGGGGGGGAAGCATAAAAAGAAATGTATATATTGTATAATGGAGGTGGGAAAGTGTTTGCTTTTATATATATATATATATATATATATATATATATATATATATATATATAAAAATACAAAAAAAAAACAAATTAATGCTCAATATGTTTGAAGAAAAACTGTTCATTTCTTTTTTTTTTCTTCTGTATGTGTCTTTCTGCTGTAAATGCTCAGTTACAGTTGAGGTGAAATGGATGTAAATTGTTGTGTAAAATGAAAACTTTATATATTTATGGTTCCGTCACTTATGTTAAATCATCAAAAGAAAAACAAAGAAACTAGCATTCAACACATGAAATTAATTTTTCTTCTCCATTATTTATTGGTGGCACAATTGAATTTCTTGGGAAGATGTTGGCGGGGGAGGCCTTTGTCTCCTTCTGTTTTATGTCTTCTTCCCTTCTTTCTCTATGTTTCTCACTCTCCTCCATCTCATCACCCCCTCCTTTTTTTCCCTAGTTTTCATTTCTTTCAAAGAAATTGCAGTAAAATTCACCAATTGAGTTTAAAAAAAAAAAAAAAAATCTAAACACTGCCCGCTCCTTTTTTTTTTTTCTTTGTCATATTTTTTGAGAAGAAAGAAAAAAAAAAAAACAAAATTCTGATGCAATTTACTTTTGCTGATCTATTAGATACATATTTAGAAATCATGATTTTTTTTTTTAAACTAATTCTTCTGTTTCAGAAGTACCTCTTCTCACAAGTTCTAGTATTCTACATATGATGTACAACAGAACATTAAAATAAGTCACAACAATGTTTATATAATTTTCTAATGTTGAATTTTACACAGCATTATAAAATGACATAAAACTTTTCATTATTAAACCATCAATATCATTTAACTTTATCACAAACCTCTCAGAAAAAAACTTTTGTCGTTCACCAATTTTGGGTGATCCTATTCATTGTGTCACATGTACATCAAATAAATAGTAAAAAAAAAGGAAATGTAGATATTAGTTTAGAAACACACTCATCTTTCAAAAATTGTATTTTCAACCAGTAGTTTATTATAAACTTGAATATTTTTGATTCTATCCCAATTTTACATAAAACAACATGGAATTACCTCAGTTAGATTTCTTTCAACAAATGTTGGTGAAATGTTCTTTCTTATAGTTCTAAATAGAGATATCACTTGTCAATTTTTAACTTTCCTCCAAACATCTGTTGCTTTCCATTGCAACTCTCAGATCGGCATTCTATAACATCTGAACAAACAATGCTGATCAGAAATAATAAGCCACAAATTCTCCTTTGGATTTGAAAAGTCATGCAACAAAATAAGATAAAATAAAAGATAGCATCTGAAATGCAATATAACTTATTTTAACTATATCAGAACTCTTAATTAAACTTCATGAAACAACAACCCCAAAAATTATGTCCAGTCTAATTGTCTCATTTTCAAAAGCAATAGGGTTGAGCATTTTTGATTTGAATTATTTTTGTTTTGCAAATTCTGAGACTTATTGATAACAAATGAATTAGATTTCATTTTTTTTTTTTTTTTTTTTTTTTTTAAAGGAAATGAAATAATTGAAATTAATTATTTTGCATTTGTGCACACTATATTTTTTTTTTCTTTTATTTATGATGCATATTTTTTTTATTTTTAAATCCAAAGAAAGGTCCTAAATATGAGGCTACTTATGACAATGTAAAAGAAGGTAAATCACTGTCATATGAAAATAATGGTAAAATCAAGAACACCATAAATTTTATAGGACACATAAAATGAGACTAATTTAGCCCTTGACAAACTGTAGTACTGATCTCTTATGTTTTATATAAACACCAAAACCCTGCTGACTAACCTCTTCATTTCGGATTTTTTTATTAAATATATTTTTAAAAATGTTAAAACATTTTGTTCAACCTTTTCTAATCTCTCATACATTCTGAATTAATAACCATCGGTTCAATTAATTTTCATGAAATTATATAATAAACTACGTGTTTAATACAGATTTCTTTTTTTAAAGATATGGCATCGTTTTGATATTTGATGAGATAACTGCCCATGCTGTTTGCATAAAGAGATGAATATTTTTTGTAATACATTTTATGTACGAAGTCATTTAAGGGTTCCAATAAGATATTTTACATCCTGTATCAAAAACATAGATTATTTCTATCTATCCAACTTGTTTTTATATATATACATATATATATATATACACACACAATGTCTATTTGTACAGCAATCCCTATTTTATTAAAGACAACTAACAATGTCCTATGATTAAGCTTTTTTATTCAAGTATTTTATTTTCTGGACATAAAGTGCATAGAATCTTTCCAAAAGTTCTATATATCTGAGCACTTTCGGCTACTCTATTAGCCATTATCAAGGATGTCTTTTTGTTATAAACAGTGTCAGCACATTGTCACCATGTTCGTATATAGATCATTTGGACAGTTTTGACACTTTATGTCCAGAAAAGAAAATACTTGTACGAATGCAAGAAAACATTAATAAAAGTTTAAGTGTCTGGCCAGTTGACTTTAATAAAATCATGAAAACATTTGGCACATGGATATCTTGAGTGGCATCAAAATGCATTTAAAGTGAGAACATTGGAATCATATGAGATATATACAAAGTTTGCTTCCCACCCAAGAAAGAAATTATTCCTAATATCACAATTTTTAATTTAAACAAAAAATTCATTATTTACATAATTTAAACAAAAAATTCAAAAGTTACCATCTTGATGCAAAATACTAACTTCATATGGGGATTTTCTTGAAAGCCTCATCATGTTGAAACACCAGTTCTTGTACGATCACCAAAGTTAAGAAACGTTGAGCCTAATCAGTACGAAGATGGGTGACCACTTGGGAATACCAGGTGCTGTAAGCTTGTGGGTTATATAATGGATAATGGCTCAGAATTGTTAATTGAAGAGCAGAGTTCCAATTCCAGTTGAATCCGCCTCTTCTCCCTCAACTATGGGTTAATGTAAGCCATTATTGTGACAAAAAATTCTTACAATCTAGAAATATATTTTCTGGATTTAAATAACTTGGAAAAGGTTGATAAGCCATAGAAAACAAATCAATTAATTTGAAAGCCTCATTAAGTTATATGAAAGCCATTTTGTCATCTGTTAAACAAATAAATTTATTTATTTAAATAATTTAATAAATAAATTATAGATACCAAGAGAGAGTGTGTGTGTGTGTGTATATATATATATAATATATATATGACATTCACATTGTGAGAAGTCCCAAGATTCTCTCCACAAAGCTTGGTGAAATGTTCTTATGGTTATTAATAAAAAATATCCCTTGTCAATTTTTAACTTTCATCCAAACCTCTGTTGTTCTCCATTGCAACTCTCAGGGTTGGCATTTTATAATTACTAAACAAACAATGCTGAGTGGAAAGAAATAATAAACATTCATTCTATGCTGCTTGCTTAATGATCATAGAATGATTAATAAAATAATACAGTGAAACCCCACCTATTCGCGTTTCAGCATTCGCAGATTTTTCTTTAGAACATATGTACTTGTTATTCATGGAAACTCCAAATATTCTGAAGGACATATGTACAAATTATTCATTGAGAATTCCATCGATTCGTGTATTTGTATTTTTTCGATAGAACATATTTAAAATATTCTTGTATTATTTTCCTGATATTTAAGTGACTTAAAACATATAACAGTCCATTTTTATGGTAAAAATTAGCAGAATTGTACATCTTCATTGTAAAAAAACAAACACAAAAACATGCATAGTGCTTGGGCTTTGTTCTTTGTTAGGGGCTGGGGTCTTAAAAGTGTCTTATGCTAAGTCTGGGAGCATCATCACAGTTCTGTTTTTAGTAAATGTTTTAAACTTTATATTTTATGTCTTGTTACACATATTTTATACAGCATTTTCAATGGTTGTATCGATTTATGCATAATTAAAAATGGTTATTATGCATATGAAAGAAAATTTATGCTAAGTGTATGGCCCCCAATACTGGTTTAAAAACTGGTTAGGATGAAAATTTAAGGCATATGGGGTTTTAACAATCAAAATAGGTACTTATAAGTACCTTTACTGGGGTTGCAAGTATTCGTGGATTCTAACCATTCTCATTTGGTCCTGGTTCCTAACCGCCACGAATACAGGGGCAGGGGACTCACTGTAATAAAAAAATGATAAGGCGTAGAGATTTGAACACTATTTATATCATTTGTATAATTGTAAATAACAAAAGCTTTTTGGTTAATCCTTAAAAGATATGCAAAATAATCATTCCATGATAGATTTATATTTAAGTGATAAAAAGTTAATGCTAAATTATTTTGCAAATAGAAGAATTACATTTTTAATACAATTTTTTTTTTTTTTTATTCTTGAAAGTTTTGTATTGATTTTATTTAAGACAAAAAACTTGCCAACTGGAGAGGAATACAGTTTTCATAGATGAGATTTTACAAGTATACGATATTTAATCATACCTACATGCATAATATATATGTTTATACTTTTTAATTTGTCATAAAAATTGTTGCAGTTATTTTTGTTAATGCCACACAATTGTGATTAAATTTCCATATTCTAATCAAACAAGGGGAAATAACTACAGGACTAAATTAAAATAATTCTCTTTTTCATGGAATAATAGTTTCAACTTTTCTTCTAATCACTTTTTTAAAATTCCTGAAGAGTGAAAGTAGTTAAAAAAAAAAAAAAAGCTGTGTCATGGGCAAAATTGTCTTATTGCGGGGGATGTTTATGCATGTTTTCCAGAATATTTATTTAAGAGATTATCAGCCCAACATCAGTAAATATATTGTGTTATCTTTCTATCTATAGATTAAAATTTAGTTACCAAATTGAAATAAAAACAATGAAAAATATTTGAAGCTTTTAATTTAAACTAATAAAATAGACAATAAAATATATAAAAATAGGAAAAAGGCCCACAGACTGCTGCTGGGTGGCAAATATAATTGCATATCAAGTATCAGTGTCAGTAGTTGACATGGGAACTTTAGTAAAAATATAACATATTTGAATGCTGAATTTCTAAGCAAACAGGTTTTTTTCCACTTGGAAAACTGATGCAATATCATCTTTTTACAGTAGCTATGTGCCAGACTTAGTAAATATATCTACACCTTTCTAAATGCAAATTTTATTTGATGGCTGATTTAGTGGCATATTCCCCAATGGTAGTGTTCACGTTCAGGTAAAAATATAAGATTTATGAATACTGATTTTCTAGGGAGGTTTTCTTCACTTGGAAAATTGGTATGACACAATGTTTCTACATTATTTTTTTTAAACAATATTAAGTAAAGAGTACAAAACTTAAAACAATACCTAATTTAAAAATTATAATTTTGATTATAATAAGCAGATATGTTTAATTTAATCTTTTATAAAACGTTAAAAAATGAGTGATTTTGATAACATAATCTGCATTTATCATAAACGGCTTTCTCTGAAAGATTGATCAAGTTCAATATTTTTGTGTAATCTGACAATACTTATTATTACAATCTAATAAATACATGGTATCTCCAGGTTGTGTGAAAACATAGCAAAAATGACAATGTAATATCTTCCGTGATTAAAAAAAAAAAATGAAATTTATAATCTCAAAAACTGTATCTAAATATTAATGTGCAGTGTAGTGGTATTATGGACAGGAGACTAAACACTAAAAGCTTAAGTTTCCTACCTTCCATTAAAAAACAGAATTGTCTCAGTCTTGGAATCACACAGTATTTAGGAATATATTTACCAATTTTAAGAATGGCTGTAATATGAAAAGAATAACCTTACCAGTCGCACAATCTTTTATATCCCATTAAATAACAATAAAACATTTGCTATTTAATAGAATAGTCTATTTAATCTTTTATGAATAGAACATTTTTAACATGTGGATATGAGAATATGTAATATGAGTCAACAGTGTGGTTAGAAATTATACTGCATTGTTATATATATATATATATATATATATATATATATATATATACTAAAGTGCAGACTTGTGCATTCAGACGTGGTCGTTGGCATCATAATAAAACTGCCAACACGTTTATTCACAGTGATACTTTTAGTGTGAAAAATTCAGTTGAAGTAATAAATTAGATCAAACATTTTTATTGCCTAAGTTAGCTATTATAAAATTTGCATTTGAAGTCAGATTTCATGACTGACCTCTGGCAGTCAATTTGTTTAATATGAGACACATGGTCACATTTCTAGAGTGTTCATTCAAACTCATTCTCAATGACTTGTGATCAGCACATTAACTATTGTATCATTACAAATGCCCAAAATCTGGGTGTGAACATACATACAGCTTATTAGGTAGATTTGTTTAAAAATGTGGGGAAATTGTCATCATCTATTTGCTCTATCAAAAGTTCAGAGTAGCTAAGTGATTCAGGTAAGGAATGAATCCAGAAACAAACTTGGAGTTGTTATATTTCATTTTTCATTACCTCTTGCCCACACCATAACAATACAATTGCTTATATCTGCATCTAAATTATTGTTTTAAATAAACTGAATACTGTTTCAATGAAAGATTAAAAAAAAAAAAAATTATTGCTAATATTCATCTCACAAAAAAGTATCAGTACTGAAATTCTTTGTTTTTAGTCATTATGATTTTTCTTTAGAATTTTCTACCTATAATGATTAAAATTTGGCCTTGTAAAATCACGGTCTCAGTTAATTTTGATGCTGTAAATACAATCATATATATATATATATATATATATATATATAAAATAAAACCTTTGATATTTAACAGAATAGTGTATTTAATCTTTTATGAATACAACCTTTCCAGGATATATGAATACTAAAAAGTATCACTCTTCAAATCATATGGGCCTTAATTCTTAATTTACAAAATAAATTTTAATCATGTAAAAATAAAATAATTACATCCACTCTTTGAAATGACATTTTAAAACTGGTATTTAACATGTAAACTTAATTTTATCTATAAAATTGAATTTTAATATAATGTCAATGCATAAATTGAAAGATCTAGATTAACATAATAAAAATCTGTAAAATTTGCAGAAAACTCATTTTATTGAGAATCCTTGCCATCTCCCCCCCCCCACACACACACACAACCATCTAGATTCCTCATGGGAAATTTCGAGAAGTGGATAAATAGGCAGGTAGTCCCTTAACAGATCAGTTTCTTATCATTCATTAATCTGTAATCTTTGTAAAGATTTAATGATTGCTTTTTGTTTTGCTCTTTTTTTCCCTGTAATTTTGTCTTCCATTATAAATAATTTATTTGTGCATTCTGGTGATTATTGCTGGAATTTATGTGAAAGAAAGTTTCCTCATATCTCCAGGACCTTTTTTTAATATCCTCACATTCCTTTAATTTATAATTCAGATGATTTTTAAAAAAATATTTTTCTTTTAATGACACGGAAAAGGTTTTGTCGATATTTACAAATGAATCTAAATCGAGGGGATATTTTGATGTTTTTTTTTTTTTTGTTTTTTTTTTTTTCAACCTACCCCCAAATTTTTTTTAAATACAAACAAAAAGGATATTTTTTTATGATAAATAACTTCAGTTTAAATAAGAGATTTATTTCTTTTAAATTCTGAATCAAATGTACCTGAAAATTTCAATGGATAATGGAGAAATAGGAAACATTTTTGTTTTCTTTATACTTCAAAAAAAAAAATTGAGAGTAAAAATATAAAGAAAACGTGGGTATATATACTGTATATTTCCATGTATAAGTTAGTTTTAGTTTTTCCTTCAGCTTGTGCTGTTAGACGCTGCTGGGAGACATAGTCATCTGTCAGCAGCAAGGCGAGTGGCCTGGAGGAGAGATCGTGGGCTCTGAGAATGTTTGCCACTGAGTTGCTCCAGCATTCTTCTTGGTCTGCCTCTCGCTCTCCAGTCAGTGTACCTGAAGGTGTATGCTCGTAGGGCTGGTTGGTTGATAGGCATGCGAGTGAGGTGTCCGAACCACTTGATCCTGTGTTGTTTGATGTGTTAGCTATTATAAAATTTGCATTTGAAGTTAGATTTCATGATTGACCTCTGGCAATCAATGTGTTTAATATGAGAGAAATGGTCACATTTCTAGAGTGTTCATTCAAACTCATTCTCAATGACTTGTGAACATTACAAACGCCCAAAATCTGGGTGTGAACATACATACATAGATACAGCTTATTAGGTAGATTTGTTCAAAAATGTGGGGAAATTTTCATCATCTATTTTCTCTATCAAAAGTTCAGAGTAGCTAAGTGATTGGTATTGCTCCTACTATAGTTGAGTTGGTCAGTATATTCCTGTAGCTGGATCTTGTCATTGTTCATCATTGCTTAGTCGTTGGTGAACATGCCTCATGATCTGGATTGGCTTCCTTTGTAATCTGGTCCATGGAGATCACAAACAGTAGAGGAGAGAGATTGCAGGCTTGCCTAACCCCAAATGCCACTGGAAACCAGCCAGACGTTCCACTTGCTGTTAGTGTATATGGCCTGGATGCTGCTCCTTAACATCAAGGACCTCCCAAATGCTTATCTCAATTGAAGGCAGATGGAGATCATGGTTGTGTTCCATTGCCCTCTCACACAGTTGTCGGAGTGCAAAGATTGCATCGGTGCACCCCCTTCCCTTCCAGAAGCCAAACCAGGCATCACTGAGGAGATGTTCTGTTTTTACTCAAGTGCTCTGCTCAAGGATCTTTGCATACAATTTCCTTACATGGCTGAGTAGTGACATGCCTCTGTAGGTATTGCAGTCTTTCTTGCTACCTTTCTTCTTCCATATTGGCAGTCTCCTGGTACTTTCCTCTTGTCTCAAGCTTTCTGAAAGATGGTGGTGAGCCACTGTATTCCTGTTCCACTATAAGCAAAAATGGCTTCATTTGTAATGCCATCATTTCCTATTGCCTTGCCCTTAGGGCTGGTCTTCACTGCTTTTCTCAGAACTTACCATCCTGGAGAGCGGAGTGATCTGAATGGCTGGGGGCAAACCGAGACTGTATTTCGTGCCGTTGTACACCTGATGGATTCAGTAGATCTTTGAAATGTTCTTCCCGTCTCTTAATTATCTTTCCTTCCTCATGCAAAGCTTCTCCGTTTTCATCGTTGATGATGGTGGTGGGGTCATAAAGCTCATCTCGCACCCTCATTGCTTTCACTTTTGGAGAATTCTTTTGGTGATGTCTTGCATTTTTCACTGAGTTTTTCACCATAGTGTCTCCATGAGTTTTCCTTCGCTGTTCTCACATGTGTCTTCTTGCTTGTCTATACTTGATGTAATCCTCTTCATCCTTTGACTTGACCCAGATCTTGTATAATCTCTTCTTTTCCCTGATAGCATCCTTCACTTCTTTCTTCCACCAAGCTGTTACTTTTCTGTTTCTTCCTCTTGTCTTTTTAGTACCACAAACTTCTTTCAATGTGTCCAGAAAGGCTATCTTGAAGGTTTCCCAAGATTCCTCTATGTTTAGTGATGTAGAATCAGTAGAGCCCAATTTCTCATTGATGGTGCACCTAATCTGAATTTGCACACTTTCATCTTGGAGTTTGTTCATATTGAGTTTTTCTGGCAATTTCTTTCTGTTACTAGACTTCCTCTTTTTCTGAACGCTCAACGTTGTGACGACTGGCCTGTGGTCAGTATCCAGGCCTGCGTTGGAGATAGCTCTTGAGTCTGTGATGTGGCTCTGCTTTTGGGATCTTACTAATATGAAATCTATTTGAGATGAGGTATTGATGTTTCATTTATACCAGGTGTAAATCTGAGTGGTTCTTCGTTAGAAGAAGGTATTAGTGATAAGGTCATGCTCTTCACACAGCTCTAATACATGTTTGCCGTTGTAGTTGCAAGCTGTTCTATGGTCACTATGTGGACTCAGGTGTTTTGTTCACGGTGTTCTTCACTCACCAACTCTGCTGTTAAAGTCTCCCATGACATATAGGTTTGTCTGGGATGCAGTTGATGGTGTCCAAGTATTCTCCAAAGAAGAAGTCTCTCTCTTCTTCAGATTAAGAGTCATTACATGGTGTGTACACTTGAATGTAGTTGGTGATATTATTTCCCTCTCTGATGCCAATCTTCATGAGTCTCTCTGAAATGAATTCCATGGTTACTAGATCCTTTGCCTTATAAGGGTTTATGATGAAACCTACACCATGTGCTGCTCTCTGTTCCCCGTTTACTCCACACCACATGAAAATAAAATCGGAGTCTATTTCCTTTGTTCCTGTTCCCTTCCTTCTAATATCAGTGATACCAAGGACCGAGATCCCGCATTGGATCATGAATTCAACTAATTCAGGTTCTTTGTTTATCAAACCACAGATGTTCCAGGTTCAACCATTTCATTATTACTAGCTCGTCATCTGTTTTCCTCGCTAGGTCATTTTCTGCTTTGTTCAGTCCCTGTATATCTCCTTTTGTTTTCTTGAGCAATTTTTATCCACTGTCACAGTTGGCCCACATTAACTGTTTTCACCTCCCACAACAAGGACAAGGGGTTGGGCTTTGGGAGGCTCCATGTATAAGACTACTTTTAAATTTTGACCCTTAAAAATTGGGGCTTGTCTTATACTACAATTCTCAAAAAGAAACCTTAAATTCTTATTGATGTTTGTTGGTAGGCTAATCTTGGCTTCAGTGCAATAACCAATAACGTACATGAAAAGATTTACATTATCACATAAAACCGATAATAAAAGCAATAAAACCATTTCTACTTTATATATTACTGGCATAACTTCATAATGAATTGCCTATTCAAAGAATAATTCCATATCAATGAAATCAACTTGTATCCATGCAAGATTCCTTGGCTACTTTCAATTTAGACTTTGCTAAATACTTTCTTTGTTCTGCTGGTGGTTTTATGATTGATATGGGTATAAGTTAATAAGAAATTTCAACTGACTTACACAGAAATTAGGAACAGACTGAATAAAAAAAAAAGATTAGTACACTAGGTTGTTTGTAACTATTTAGATCTACGAAAAGAAGAAGTATTTGCAAGAGATCACATGATGAGATGTAAACAAAACAATGGTTTCTTTTTTTAGGGGACATGTGTAGGAAAAACATGACATAGAATTGGTTTTATTTCATTTACTTTGAATTTCTAAGGATATTGTAACAATATTTCCTATATCATATTTATATAATCAATAAGCAATTGTCTTATACTACAAGTATAGGATAAATTCACAAAATTTTTTTTTTTTTTTACCTAATTTTATCTAAAGGTTGCCTTATATATATGGAAATATACAGTAATTTTTTTTTTAAAGCAGTGTATCAACAAGCAGTAAAATGCTTTTTCACTTAGAAGCATTATGACAAAAGCAAGCATTGAAAAGTGAGGTTCTCCATTAAATATTGGACAAAGTTACTATCAAGTAAATGTAAACAAAGTTTTAAGATGACCAAAGCACATTTTGGGCAGGTACCTACAGAACTTCCCTTTATGAACGAGCCAAACAAACATTTTTGGTAGATAAATTTTGTGCTGCCATGGGTAATATGAGATCAGTTTCTTTTGGTGCATTTTCATGTTTTATATATAGAATACCATTTTCAATAAAACATTCATATATATATATATATATATATATATATATATATATATATATATATATATATATATATTGCTCTGTGATGACTTGATTTTGTTTCTTTTGTTTTCATCAACAATTGTTGGTTTTATAGAGTTGGAAATGCCACATCCATGCAGGATTGCTAGACTGGCCTACTAAATATTGAATTGACTTTTTTTTTATCATAAGTAGTAAAATTGAAAAACTTGGAGAAGGCATGAATCTGCCAACCCTGCACTCGGTTTTTTTAATTTTCTTTAAAACTTTTTTTTTTTTTTTTAATCATTTTTTAAAGTGATTTAAGAATACTTTTTGTGAAGAGAAATGTCAATAAAAGAATAGGGTTCATGAAGACGGATGATGGCGATTGGCATTGCATTTAAAATTTTTTAGATCGCAAGTGGCAGGGAAGCAAGAAACCAGAATTCCACAAGTGAGAAAAGAAATTATTAGAATAAAACATGGTTTCATCTTTTGTTCAACAGTAAAATGGTGAGATGGACCTAATGTTTGGAATAAAGGTTTAGTTCTTCATGAAAATAGATGAGCGGGAGCGGAGTAATGTGTTAGTCTTGTATATTTGACAGAATCATAGGTTCTGATAGTATCAAGGTAAATGGAGAGAATTTTTATAAATCTCTTGGACAAGATTTTTTTTTTTTAAACTGAAACCGGTCATACCCAAGAAGATTTAAGGCTAAAATGCATATTCATACAAGATGCTTCTTCCTCATTCTGCAAAATTGACTATTGCCCATCTTGCCGAGAAAAGGTTTCAAAGACACCAAATTAATAGAATGACTCCCAGCCTCTCTAGATATTAATCAAATATAAAATATGTGCTCTATCATTAAGAGAAAAAAAACTATTGAAACAAAGATCTACAGGAAGCAATAAAAAAAAAAACTGCTACAAGTAAACATAAAACAGTACAAAAGTTAACAAAATTCAATGGCTGAAGGCTAATGAAAGTGGTAGAATGTTAATATATAAAATAATTTATTCAGGCATATGGGATATTGTATCAATGAAAAACTTATCTCTAGTGTTCAGCAATCAGTTCTTTTTGTGGTAGACACGTGCGATGTAATATGAGGAAGTAAAGTCTCATGGTGCTTGTGGATGGATATAACTTTTTGCTGTTTGCAGCAGCAAGAATAATGACTACTCATGCTATTAAACATGTTTAAACAACATGTTCAACTTTCCTGGTCAGCATTATTCCTATCTATCTCTTAAACACGTACGGGACATGATGGTGCAACAAGTGTTTCATTCAATTACTCCAACTACAACTTTTGCTGTCCTGTATCAAGAAGCATGAAACAATGTATCACATGAATGTATTCACCATGTGCAGAATTGCATGCATGCATGCATGACTACAGAACCATGTTAATGTTCAGGGAAGATATTTATAAGGAATCAAAGAATTTTTTATACATCTTTTATTTTGAAACCTGCATACATATTGATTTGTATATAGACATCATTAGCTCTTATGCTTAAAGTTGAGTCAAGTGAAATATAGTTATGCTTGTACAATTTGATTTATTGTCAGTTTGCATTTATACAAAGGGGTACTGGTCATTTGGTCAAATTTTTAGATGTTGGACCAAAAGCATTTCAGTATCCCCACATATTGTGTGTGTGTATATATATATATATAAAGTGAACATTTTGTTTCATGCTGGATATAAATGGCCACCTGATGATTGTGTCCAGCATGAAACAGCCTAAATGATGTTGACTTCAATGTTCACTTTTATATTTACATACGCTCTATCTCTGATATTTTTTTGCATAAATATAGAAACACCTTAAAATATTAAAACTGATCGAAAAAAGAACTCAATGTATTATTACAGAGCAAATAATAAACAATAAAATTTAAAATCACCTCATATAGAGAATAGTCTATTTCGGCAGATGAAAATATCAGTCATCTGTCTTATCAACCCTGGTGTAGACTGAGTCTGTGTCAGAAATTCATTCCCTTTAAGACAAATATCTTCCACCCTCCCCTGACCTCTGTCTTTTGTCTGACTAAAACATTGAAATGGATAAATTCTGTATTAGTTTTTCAACTTATTTCTTGTTTGTTTTTTCTTTTTTAATTTTCACAGTCAACAGTGGGGTTGACGGACAACGATATTTTCATCTGCTGAAATAGGCTATTCCTCATATGAGGTGATTTTGGATTTTATTGTTTTTTTATATATATATATATATATATATATATATAATATGCATACTTTTAAGGAATGCTATATTTATGGCTAAAAGTGCTCAATAAAAATGGACACTAATATCAACCCTGAACGACGACACTGTGTCATGCCTGTTGCTGTTCAGTGTTGACCTTAGTGTCCACTTTATATTTTTATATCTACATATATTCTATCTCTGATATTGAGCACTTTTACCCATAAATATAGCATTCCTTAAGAGAATATATAAGGATGAAATAGGGATCAATATGGTTTGAAATCCAACAGAATGATAGGATAAACAACAAATAAGAAACACCTATAAATCTAAAATTTTACTTTTATTAAAACTTAAAAGAAATTCTGGAATTTTTTTTTTGTTTTATTTTCATTGGTTAAGCAAGCTTTATATGCATTTTGACTTGTTACACAGCTATAGTATAAGTTATGGTGTTCTGAACTCAAGGAGAGATGATACTTGGAATCTTTTTTTTTTTTTTTGAGCCTTGAAAGGATACACCATTTCTCCTTGAGTTCAGAATACCATAACTTGAACTAACACTGCTTAACAATCAAATACATGTCATATATTTCACACATTGAGTGCTGGTGCTAATAAAATAGTGCCCAAAGTTTTCAATCAGTACCTGACAATTGCAATGGCTCAAAAAGAACCTCAAAAAATGATACTAATTTATGCCAATGATTCCATAAGAAATTTTGGATAATTTGCTTTTTAATTCCCATGCTAAGTATCTAATAATAATTTCTTGAACTGTTATTTTTTTATTCTAAATTTACTTGCCTAATTTGAAAATAAAGAAATTTTCATAAAATCTACTGTTTGAATACATTTGTGTTGGTGGCATTTACGGCTTCGGCAACTATTATTGGCATTGTTAGCATCAGGTCATCTTAATAATTGAGACAAGTGAATTTCTATTCCATAACAAATATATGCAAACAACACCAGTAATGGCCACTGCAATGCAAATGAGTCCAAACTTTTATTGCCAATAACTCCAAAAAGGTAGATTTTATCAAAATCTGTTATTTTCGAATTAAGCATATAAATTTACTATTTGGGGTTTTTTATTTAGCGCCAGGGCTTAAAAGCAAATTACCTAAAATTTCAATTTATTTCAGTTTTTTACAGCAGATTTTTATACTTTTAACCGTCCTCAAAAAGTACTTCCTCTTGCCATTCCCGATTCAAACGTTATTTATATTTGTTTATTTATGAGAATTCTTGATGTCTACAAATCAACCAGAGAAAAGTAGTCCTATTTATGCCCC